ACCACCTTTGGGGATGGAAATCGTCTCCTGACAGCATGCAAGTCTTGTATGCTATTTGCTTCCTTTAAATATATGTATTTATGTTGAATAAAATTTTAAATTGTTAACGTTTGAATTCATGTGTTGATGTAGCAAAAAACAAGCGTGGAAAGGGTAGAAACCTAAACCTCATTCAAGAATACAAAAAAACGATAAAACTCCTCTACCTGTTGTGTTTGATACCACTGGTGAAACGACGTATCAAAGAACACTTATTAAATTGTGGAGGTTATGGAGATGTAAACAGGGCAAAAGCACATCCTCCAGAAAACATTGATCTTGGAGTATGGGTGAACACTTATTAAACTCTAGTACTGGTATAGCTTCCCATTGACATTTGTTTATTTTCTAATAATAAGCTCAACATATATCATTTTAGTTGCTGTTTGTTTTTGATTTGGTGAGCTAAATGGGTTAAGAACATAAAACTTGGACAAATATTTATATGATGGTTTCTTATTGACTAATTAACCTGGATATGATTTTATTTTTCCATCATTATTACTTACTGATTAATTCATGCACCAATAATGCAGGGGAAGATCTTAGCAGAGTTGGAGGCACAACAACAAGCTGCTGGATCATCTTTGGTGGACGAGGCTATTGTCCTAATTAAGAAATGCTATCGAGGAAGGTCGTTGTCACAATCGTGGAGTTGGGCGTAAGCTAAAAAGCGTATCTCATTACCCCGAGCTTAGTCAAACCACTAGTGGTCAAGGTGCATCTTCAACATCTACAATTGTTGCAATGGAAGAGAAGATGTTAGGTATGCAACGAGTGATGGGAATGATGTATTACAACATGCAACAAGCTTTAGGAGCTCAAAATCCAAACTACCAACCGCCAATGCAATTCAATGATCCGACACTAAGATTTCATCAATGACCAAGAAAATAATAGCGACGAGGAGTAATTTCACATTTTAGATATTGCACGATTTTGTTTTCTTAATACCTTGACCGGTTTGTATGAAATTGGATGTTAACTTTTGTGTTAGCTTTGATAGCTTTTGGATTTAATGGATGATATTATGTTTTAGTACAAAATCTAGAAATATAATTAAAACGTTTTGGTACAAAATCTGTATATTTAAATAAAAATATTTGTGTACAAAATTTTGAAAAAAAAAAACGTAATATATTTATTTAGAACATGTTGTAGAAACAAAACTATGTACCTACAGTATGATTATGTCAAAACAAAATGTTGTTTCTATAGAGATTTTAAAATAAATTAAAAAAAACATGTTATTGTTCCAGGAAGTATTAAAATAATAAAAATAAATAGGCTATAGAAACAAAAGTTTTGTTTTTACAAGGGGAGGGGACCTATAGCATCGAGCCTATAGCAACGACACTTATAGCAACAAAATTTTGTTTCTAAAACCTATAGGAACAAAATCACGACATCTAGGAACGAAAAAAATTGTTTCTACAAGTGACTTTTCTTGTAGTGTATTTTTCGGCTTGTGGGATTTAGTGATAATAACAAAAAATGTGAATTTTAGATAATTCAAGGTCCAAAATGGAGTTCAAGATGTTTAGGAATATAAAATTTTATAACAATACATGCAAGGAATGATAAAAAAAAATAACGATAACAAATATATGGTCTTACTCTCCAATACATGAAATGTGTTTAACAAATGTAGTTGAATGAGACAAGATGTGACTTTTATTTGTTAGTAAGTATTCATCAAAAGTAAACTACATGATAACTAAAATGTATTGTATTTAAATTAACTTTTGTATTAAGAGCCTTTTTTTATAATAAAATTGTTGCAAAATTGCTTGCAATAAGAATGAAGAAAGTTATTGGAAGTATCATTGAAGAGGTCCAGTCTGCCTACATTGAAGGAAGAAACATTTTGGAAGGTTCGATGATAGTTAATGAACTCTGTTCATGGGCGAAGGCGAATGGAAAGAAGATGCTTTTATTTAAAGCTGATTTCAATAAAGCATTTGACTCTGTAAATTGGGCGTACTTAGATTTGATCATGGAGCAAATGGGTTTTGGGTCGAAATGGAGCTTATGGATAAGTGGGTGTCTGAGATCAGGAAGAGCTTCGGTAATCATTAACGGCAGTCCGACAAATGAATTTCCTATGTCAAAAGGTGTCAGGCAAGGGGACCCACTCTCTCCATTTCTCTTCATCGTTGCGATGGAAGGGTTAAATCAGGCGATGAAGACAGCAGTGGAAAAAGGAATATTCGATGGCATCAAATTCCCACAATCCAATCTTTTCTTATCCCATTTATTTTATGCTGATGATGCACTGTTTATAGGTTGTTTATAGGTGAATGGTCACGACAGAATATTGCAAATCTAGCTCGGATACTAAGATGCTTCCATGTATCGTCAGGTCTAAAGGTAAATTTCAGGAAGTCAAAGGTTTATAGAGTAGGTGCTTCACAAGTGGAAATTTCAAACTGGGCAGCCCCGCTGGGATGTGAACCTTCGGCTATCCTATGCACCTATCTTGGAATTCCGGTAGGTGAAAATATGAATTTGAAGAATGCTTGGAGACCAATTATTGATAAATTTCATGCAAAGCTTACGACTTGGGAAGCGAGAACCTTAAGTTTTGGAGGTAGAGTAACGCTTGCAAAGGTTGTACTTGGAAATCTTCCAACGTTCTATATGTCTATCTTTGCTGTTCCTAAAGGTGTTATCGACACCTTAGAAAGAATTAGAAGGAATTTTATTTGGAGAAGGTTGTATGATAAAAAAGCATATGTTGGGTCTCTTGGGAAAAGCTTATTTTGCCAAAGAAAGTGGGTGGTATGGGGCTGGGCTCCATTAAGTCCCTCAATATTTCATTACTAGCAAAGTGGATGTTGCGGTTGAAAACTGAAGATTCTGTTTTGTGGGCAAGGGTCATTCGATGTATCCACAAGTTAGATGGAAGGCATTGGTCGGTTTTGACTAACAGATCAAACAAAGGAGTGTGGAAGAATATTATTAAATCTAGATCGTATTTGGAAAAGATAAACATTGACCCTAAAGAAATTATATCTTGGAATTCGAATGATGACAGGTGGGAATCAGAATTTACAGTTGAATGTCGTTTTATGGTTTGTATGTTACGAGAAAGAATTGAATTAGCAGGATTCATTATTAATGATGGACCATTTGATTGGGGTAAGGCGACTCCGTTCAAGATTCTAGCATTCGTTTGGAGAGCTAAGCTGGGACGAATCCCTTCTGCAGTGGCCCTTAGACATCGATGAATCAACATACCAACTACAATGTGCGGAGCTTGTAATAATGATGAGGAGACGGATGATCATATCCTGATTTCATGCTCGATGGCGATGGAGATTATGGATTCGATACTTGATTGGTGTGGAATTAGGAGTGAGAAGTTTTCCTCGGTTATGGACATGCTTCTTTTCATATCAAGATGGTCCGGTAATAAGAAGAAACAAAGTTTGTTGAATATGATATTATGTGGTACGTTATGGTGCATATGGGTTGGACGGAATAAACGGAATTTCGAGGACGTTTACATGAGACTAACAATGATTGTGGAAAAAATAAAAGTTTTATCTTACATCTGGAGCAAGCATAGAACTTCATTTAAGAAGATAGATAGGAGAGTGTGGAATGTTTGCCCATTTCATTGTTTGTAGTTTTTTCTGTTTCTGAAACCATTACTCTGCTGCTTTTGTACTCTTTGCCACATCATCTTGTTGTGGTTATTTTTATATTTTATTTGCCGTTTTCCAAAATAAAAAGTTCTTACCGCCTAACATAAGTTTTTTTAAAAAACTAAAAGCTTAAAGTTTGATGACTAACATGCTGATAATATCTTAATTAATACTTAATGACTAAAAACCATAAAGAAAGTTGATCATCTTTTTACTCGTGTTTTGATATGGGTGATCTAAGTAAGTATTTGAGACATGAAAATGAGTGAAGATCATGCTTAGGTATAGGAGAATGTGTGTAAAGAAAACACAAAGAGACATTCTCGCATTTCAAAGCATTAGAGTTGAAAGATGGCAGGCAATCTTGGGAACTTCAGTGGATTGTTTCCACTTTTATTAGTAAAAAACGTGAAAAATGGGGTTTGATCCAATGTTTTGGGAATTTTAATGAATGCTTAGATGTAAATGTTGTACTTTTTCCCATCAAACTAAACAAACTAAACAAGGTTACGTTTCAAGTTGACTTTCATTTTGACCCTTGAATTAAAATAGGGGACGCTTGCAATGTCTTAGGTTTTCACCATTTTTAATCTGTTATATTATGTTTGTTTACTTATTTAGTTTATTTTGTATAGTTAATAAAGTCAAAACCATGTTTAAATATAAACATATATGAAATAAGATAATGAGGAAAGGCAAATAGGCAACTGTGGGTCAAAAGAAAAACCAAACGGGTCATATATGAGGGAAAAGAATGAACAAAGGAAAAATGAATTAAACTGGGGTTCCATTTCATTTACTTCTCAAATATCATTAACTTTTAAAAGTGATTGTTAAACCGGTGTGATGCAAATATTGCTCCTCCCAGATATAGTTCCCCATCTCTTTGAAAACCAATATAAGAAAAAAGAACAAGCAGAACAAGATTCATATAACTATCATATAATATGTTTCAAAATTTCTCCAAAACTCATATATTCAATATGCATTTAAGAAAAGACTTGCCCTTAAGATAGATATATTGAGCTCACTTTTTTCCTTTTTCTGTAAAGGTTTTTAGGTTGATACTTTCCAGCAAAGCTAGTATATATTGATAAGGAACATGACGATTACTAATATGAAGAGGCTCACTCAAAACCTAAAACCCTAAATAAAAACATATTTTCAGATTGATAACTTCGCTACTAATATCATATATATATATATATGTATCCTCTGAGATCTAAACAGAAGAAAACTCCTCTTTTCCCTTTTGTAGTTTATAAGTAAGATAAGGAAATTAAGTAACACGAAAGCATGCAACAACCTTTCTTAGTTGTGACTGGGAGGGTGTGTCTTTGGTGGAGAATAATCAAGATTAAAACCAGGTTGCTGATGTATCCGCTTGTTTCTAGGAGGGACTCTAAAAGTGACAGTAGTATGTGACTTAGGTTGATGTTGATGATGATGAATAACCAGTTCTTCTTGAACCTTCTTTAACTTTTGGTCGTTGTTCACGTCTTTCTTGTTCTGTGATTTGGAGTCTGTTTTCTTGTGATGATCATTATCAACCTTACTGCTCTGATCCTTTCCGTTTTCCGTCATTTTGAGGTTCAAATGATCAGGAACTGTGAGTAGATCGTTCTCAAAACCCTAAAAGAGTTCAAAAATAACGTTAAGGAAAACGACAATTAACATTAAGTAGGATCAAATAAGAAGAAAGAGATGTCAAGCTAAGTAGACCTTGATGGTGGGATGGCTGAGAAGCTTTGCATTGTCATCCATGGCCAAACTATCAATGCTACTAAGATGTCGACCAGTGCATTCATGTGAAAGACACAGAAGTAAAATAAGAATACCTGATAATGATAGTTTCATTCTCGGCATCATCATTAAATGAGAGAAGATCATTAACATCATCAAGCCCAGAAATTTTTGCTTTGAAGAACATGCAATGTATGAAGATGGTAATAAGAAAGGAGAAATGGTTAGCCTCCTTTTCTCCTTTTCGTGTCTCTTGTTTTTCTTCTTTCTATATCTCTCTTAGCTCCCAAATACTTGTGAGGGACAAACTCCGCAAACTTCTCCTAGCTAACCACGGAAACAGTGCACACACGCACAAATATATATATATATATATATATATATATATATATATATATATATATATATATATATATATATATATATATACACACACTGTGTATATGACACACAGAGAGAAGTTCCGTTGAGACTAAAAATAAAATATATATCTTGAGATTCAACCGTAGCCACATATTTCAAATCTGCTATTCTAATCATCCGGCGTACCGGTGCGGCAGGCCTGTTATAATCATAAATGATTATATAGCGTCGCCCGTACCATTCTCCCCCACCACCATCCCCAAAACCACAACCGCCACCGCCACCACCACTACCACCACCTCTGACACCAGCCGACCACACCATTGTCACCTCCATCACTTATACCAATGTCACCTCATTTATACCACTTTCACCTCTGTCATCACCGCCTATTCTGCCACAAACTGTCATAATAATATATGATTACTCAGTCTGTGAACAGACATATATGTATAATCATTTATGATTAGGCATACATTATTGCTGTCTGTACGCTGGAGCGTTAAAGTGGGAAATGAGAAATATATGGCTCAGGTTGAATCTCAAGATCTCTACTTTTTTTTAATCTCAAGTGAACCGATATATATATATATATATATATATATATATATATATATATATATATGTTCAAATATTCTAACTAATTATTGTGTGGAGGTAGGAATAAATGTGGACTAATCAAAATTAAATAAATAATTAAATAATTAAATAAATAAGGGTAATTTACTAATTTCATTAATAACTTCCATAAATACTTCCTATAATCATGGTATTGATAGATTGACTTTTAACCTAATTTCTCCCGGTCTATATCTACAGCCGTTTTCCCCCAAAAACCACAACCACCATCAACTTATGTGTACCATATCCCATCAACATCATCTTATCAATCCCTCTTTGTCGTCGTTCTCAACTGCGTGTTCTTCAAAATGGTGCTTTGTTTTTGTGGTAAAATGGCCATAGTTTGCACCGCATGGACTGACAAAAATCCAGGTAGACGCTTCTGGGGATGCCCTACTGAGGTACGCAAAGGTTTTTTTTGGATTTCAGCATAAATCTCCCATTACATGTTCCGATCTTCTTTTTGTTTCTTCAATTTTGAAGGGATCCAAATATCGATTTATTGGGTGGTTTGATGGTCCACTGTGTGCACGTTCAAAAGCTATTATACCTAGGCTGCTAAGGACAATCAACAAGTTGAAGTCACAAAACACAAGACTCAAGTGTTACCTGTTATGCAGTTGGATGTTGTTTGTGTTTGTTCTGGTTTATAAGAAGTAGATTGTCGTGTAATGGTTTGGGTGGTTTATAAGAAGTAGATTGAAGTGTAATGGTTTGGGTAGTGTTTTAATGTTTTGGGTAGTATCTTGTTTAAGCAATGTAATCTTTTGGGCAGTATCTTGTTTAAGCAATGTAATCTTTTGGGCAGTACTTTGTGGTAGTCTTTTGTGGTTAAAATGTAAGCAATGTAAGACATGTTTTGCAAGAATTTGTTAATGGTAATTATATTTGGTATGTACATTTTGGTCATTCTATTTTGTTTGTGGTTTTAACATTATCAATGACAATTGTATGTTTTGTTTAAAAGGGCACATTGGTCAAGTTCTATCAACACCAACATCATCCATGACCAATTTCTTAATACATGATGACAATGGGTTGTCCTAGATAAATTCCCTTTTATTAGTATATTCAGGGGATATCGACAAGGCTAAAGCAGCTTCATTTGCTATTACAGGTGGTATGCATGTTTGTGGCATGCCACTGGGTTGGTTGTCAGTTGGGGGGGGGGGGGGGGTTCATGTTCCTCAATCTCCTCTAATTGCTCAATAATAACTTTTCTTACAGGTTTAGGAGCCATAAAGTAAGTAAGCAAGTTAGTAATACCATGTTCGGTGTAAACCCTTATCAGTTTATGCTCCTTCACATACTGGGCAAGATTGAGGACATCATCATCATTTCCTAGGGCCCGTAACCCAAAATGCATGTCTCCCTTTGGCTCTCGAAAATGATAGTAGATAACTGGAGGAACTGAGTATCCTAACCCTTTCATAATTGCATCCATCTCGTGAATAGAAACTCTTCTATATCCACCATATCAACGTACGTCACAGTACCCTCAATGTAGTTGACAACTGGAAACTTTTTAAACTTACCTCCATGATGTAGCTTGATGGTAAACAATGTAGTGATGGGTTTTAGTATACTACAACATCATATGGTGCACATACAACCCTAAATACCTTGGATCTATGTTTTCACTAATTATACATGCAAATGGTTTCCAAGGCATTAAACCTATAACTAGCATGCATTCTCATATACCAAATAAGATACTAGTTAGGGTAACATACCTTTTGTGTTGTAGCTTGATTCCATTGAGCTTAAGAGCCGAGTGCCTCAAGTGTGACACCTCAAATGGTTCACACAACACCAACAACAACTTGGAATAACTTGAGAGAAAAGTCCTTGTGCTCAAATCGATTAGCCCTCTCATATGAACCCTCTTAGGGCCGATTTCTTGAGCCATGGGGTCCTTATATATTGTGGCTATTAGGGTTACACTATGTAACTCATGTCTTTCCATATTCTTCATGCTCCATGGGTTAAAACCTCCATGGAGTATCCATGGGTTACTCCATGGGTTTAGCCCAACATGAAGAACTATGGATCATAAGTCCACATATATAAGAATGAATGATTTACACAATCAATCCCCATATATTTAATTAGTGTCTTTTGATCACAAAATTAATTCCAAATTAATTCTTGAACAATACTAATTAAATAATATGATTTCATATTAATATATTAGAACTTATAATATATTAATAAACCATATATATCCTTTTCTCACAAAAGTCTATCCAAATCTATAACAACGTAAATTTCCAAAACAATTTTTCATTTTCAATCATAATAAATTTCATAAGAACAATTTCAAAACCCATTGCATCACATATTAACTCAATAAACAACCCCAGAATCTCAAGTACATAAATCTTCATCAGTATGTACAGATCATGCCCGGCGCCTTCCCGCGATCCTCGCTAGTACCTGAAACACATATCACATAAAATGGTAAGCATAAATGCTTAGTGAGTTCCCCAAAATACCACATACGCACATACGCCACTCAAGGCTATAAGACCTTCCGGTCACTGTGTCTCAAAGGACTTCCATCTCACAACCCTGGTTGACCTTCCGGTCCTACCCGTAATGACCTTCCGGTCCATATCATCATGACCTTCCGGTCCACATCATAATGACCTTCCGGTCCTTCTCATTCATAACATACATAACACATACATATCATATAACACCATACAACACATACATCTCATAGCATATAAGACCTTCCGGTCACACATAGGTACCATCCTAGGTACAGTATAGTGAGAAGACTCACCTCGTACGAAGTCAGATAAACTCTCGTGCTTGACGTCCCGACCTAGCCTCCTCCTATCATCCGAATAACATTCCTGATCAATACCCTCTCATAGACTCATCTCTAAAGATTGGGGAGAAGACCATTCTACCCCTCCCTGAACTCCCCTGAATCAACTTCACCAAAACCCTAAGGTCAACTGAAGTCAACGGTCAAACTTTGACCCGACTCGTCGAGTGCACATGGGCGACTCGCCGAGTCCATGCGGGTCCTCTGAATCCTTCTAACCTCACTTGGCACGTCGAGTCATCCCTTCATTCGACGGGTTACTCTTGTTACGAATCGTGGGGCAACCCCGACTCGACTCGTCGAGTCCACTTATGAACTCGGCGAGTAGCGTCCATGGCAACACTCAAATGACTTTCTGAGGTCAGATCCGCTTCTCTAACCTATAGATCTGACCTTTCCATACTCACAATTCACGTAAAGGTGAAACCTTTACACTCATGCAACACATATATGGTTCCTTTTGAAGAAATAGCCTCAAAAATGGCAACCTATGTTCATTCCTTCCATAACACTTCATAAAGCAAGATGGATAATGCTCTCTGGACCTCTATGGCTCCAGATCTGAAGTCTAACACATAAAGGGAACATAAACTCATCAATCCAAGCCATAAAAAGGGTATAGAAAACCCTAGATTCATAGATCTTAACCAAAACAGAAGGAGAGTTCGATTTGCTACCTCAATACTGCAGATCCAAGCTTGAAAACCACGGATTAGCAATCCTCTTGACCTCCTCTAGCTGGAAACACCTTCTTATTTGCAAAACAACACCAAAAAGGATTAAAATGGCTTGCTCTCACACACAACTCTCCCAAGCTCTCTAGGGTTTCTCTCTCTGGACTGGTAGCCGCAAATGAGGGCTATAAGGACCCTTAAATAGGGCACAAGCCCGAGGATTTAGGGTTTCTGTCCACAGCGCGGACTCGTCGAGTCCACCCATCGACTCGTCGAGTCCCTTCATTAATCCAGTTAGCAAATCGCGATCCTACTCGACGAGTCTAGGCATCAACTCGTCGAATCCCTCCTCATAACTCAAAAAGAAATACTCAAATTGTCATGCCTGGAAATCCGGATGTTACAATTCTCCCCCACTTGAAATAGATTTCGCCCTCGAAATCGCTCCTCAACCACATAGATAGAAACCAAACACTCGAAAAGCACCTCTGATAGGTTCTCACACCAAAACAATATCTTTCTCCATGAATACCTGGATCCGACCAGGAACTCCAAATTTGGAACAAAACCGACCCCTCTGTCTCTAAAATACCCCTTTATGACCTTCCCAGAATCGGGAA